TTAGCTGCGTGAATAAAGCTTCGAAACAACCTATTTGTTATTCTTTTGAAACAATATGTCTTCAGTTGTAAGTGTCTTAAGACAAAACCGATCCAGAAAGAATTCCAAACTAAAATGTTGATGCAATGGCAAATAGAGAAATGTGCTCTTTATTAATTCTGTCTCTCCCCTTCGTAAAATTCATACTTTAAAGAGGAGGTAAAGACTTGAAGCGATACATTTATAGTTATATTTAGTTCTATTTACATGTATCACTACACGTTATCACTATTGTATTGAAGGTAGATTGCAAGTAATTCTTAGGTTCCTTTCAATTTATATCTTGTAATTTACTTTTTGTTCTTTATTTTTTTTTACTTGTTCTTTTCTGTTATTCCTTTATTCACTATTGTTCTTTTCCCCTAGCTGTATTACGTCTTTCGTATTTGCCAATGTAATGTAAATTGTATATGTAAGTGGTATGTATTAAATAAAAAAAATAAAAAAATATCTTTACAATGCAGGAAACATGTTTCTTTTCTTCTAAGTTGCATTGTACAATTTCTTGTTTCAGTTTGTGAACACCATTAAGGCCACAATTTGGGAAAAATTAAATAAGCGCTCCCCCATGATTAACTTTCCCCCTCGAATATGCACCCTCTCTTCTCTTAAATTTGAAATAAGCGCCCTGGGCACTAATTCAAGGATTTACAGTATATTGGTTTGGTAACCAGAATCTCAGATCTGATTTTTGACCTTTATAGGATTCAACTCAGACCTGAGAAATTATCACCTGTGTTTGAACTTGAAGGTTTAACCCCCGTTTATCCACTACAATGCTTGTCAGGATTGTTTGTAGTAGCAACGCAGCAAACATATTTATTCCAAACACCAGGGCAAATCTGGTCATCTCCACATGTTTGGCAATCTGCAGGCTAAATATACACATATCAACACAACACTAATAAATTCCAGACACACACAATTTAAAGGAGAGGTAAGAGAAGTGCGATTAATCTTAAATATTGAGCCCCAGCAATTAAAAGCACATCGTTATCTTGTTCTTTTACACTCGTGTTTCTGTTATTTGCTATAACCAAAACTCTGTACATGTACAGTCATCATATCCTAAATATTTTTAAAAGATTATAAATTTTTCACTTTCAATAGTTTAGGGAATTGCATGTATACATGTACGTAAGCAATATCTACTGACAGTAAATTAATTGAACTTGAGAAAATGTAATAGAGAGAGATCTAGATATTCAGGTTTACAAACCAAATTGAAACCAAACAAAATGAAAAGAAGTAACTGAAAGACACACATTTTTACAGAAAGCTTTTGGGAGGAACTCCCCCGTGAAAAGACCAATCTGGTGGTGGCTTGAGCTTTATTTGACCCTGGAAAGATAAGTCACTTTATTTTTTCTTTGAGTGCAACACCTTGACAGCTAAAAATAGTGATGTGTTTCATCATTAACACCATAAGTGAGACTTTATCTGTGATATTTTACACCCCTCAGCTAGATGACAAGCACCCAAAAAGTACTCCCATAAATTTCAGATAGGTATGTACCAACCCTGACTGCTGCCTCTTTAAGAAAATCAAAATTGATAACCTTATTAAGACCCAAACCCAAAAATGACACCTTATTCAAAGGTATTTGTTTTTGTTACACTGGAAGTTAAGCACCGACATAGGATACTAGACTAAAGCCTAGTTTCATAATGTACCATCATAGCATGGTACTGGAAATTGAAAGTGTGACATCAATAACCTAACATAAAATTTCATACCTAGCACATAATGTGAGAAGCGTTGCATGATGACCCAAACAGTGAATAACCACACACAACAAAACACAAATCTTTATAAAATGGCTTTGCTAATACTATAACAGATAGTTCAGTTTTAACACATCATTTGATTTTCATTTAGCTGGGCATCTACAAAATGCAATTTTAGCTGATACAAATTACGTACCCTATCTGAGGATTACACTGGGAACACACTGCCAACAGGCCTAGGCACGAGGTAAAGATGATACCCTTTTCAAGGATGGAGAGCTTCAAACACCATGCCCTATCCTGCAGTGCAAACCTATGCAGTCCATATATGGGAGTATTCTCTGGGGGAGGTGCATCCTTGACCTTTTCACATGCAAGTTCTCTCCCCCCCACCCCACCCCCTCCCTCCCCACTCCCAGGTGATTCCTAACAGTCTTAGTTGTAATAAAAAATTAAGATCAAATTGGGATTTCAAAGAGTATCCAATTCCTGTGATCCAGTGAGAAAAAGATATGAGCATTTACAAGTTTGCAGTCTGAAAATAAGTCATACTCACAGGGAAATGGTGATATGTTATGTTGCTTTGCGGCCTTGGAGACAAAGACCCCATTCAACTTGGAAGTGACTGAATGAAATTTTCATTCATACTTGTCATCAGAACTGTAGAAATCTGATCTCTACAACGATTTACTACACCTTGCTACTTACCTTGCTATTGTTATGAGAAAGGTATATGCTGTACGCAATAGGATGTACATAAGATATGCTATCCAGATACTGCTGGTCTGTGCGCTAAAGAACAAAAAGAATGCATCTGCAACTGACACTAATCCAAGGCACAACTCTCCAAACAACGACCAGTTGATCTTCACATATGCCAGTGAAATGGCCACCAAAGACCCTGTTAGGTGTGAGATTGCAGTGACAGCACCATTGTAGATTTTGTGCTTGTGTGAGGGGTAGATGACGTCCCATAAATTCTGGACAAAATTTTCAACTTGAAATTCCCCACATGTTGCAAAGGCCCACCAAAGAGACCAACGCAGAAGCTGTTTGTCAGAATAACACAGTTTAAAATCCTGAAACATGGTGTACATTGTTGTTTTCCAAGAGGAGAAGCAGCCATTTTGTTGTTGTTCAACAGTTGGTTCAGTCTCTGTCCTGGTTACAAAAACGTTCCCAGAAGCCTTGGGTAGTAGAAGGGTGAGAATACAGGAGATTGATACACTTCCAAGAGAGATGTAATTTAAAGCAAGGTAGTCAGTCACTTTGAGCGATATTAGAAGCTGTCCGGTCACTCCAGATAACATTCTTCCTAAAAGGACTGCAGCCCTCGTATAGCTCGTCACTATCTGGTAGCGATCCTTGTCAACAACTGCATAAATGTAAGAATAGTACGCTACTTCGGCGCCAGTCGCCACTCCATAGGCGAATTGCATGAACTGCATTGCTAAAACCCCACTCGCCCAAATCAGAAGTATTCTTGTCGTCAAGTAAGCTAGACCCTCAGTTATTATTACCGGCTTGTATCTCAGGAGGTCTGTGACTAAGAACACCACGAACAGGGTCACAAGATAGGAATACGTCCATACAGGGTAGATTTCGTTGTCCAGTTGTTCTTCTGTTAGATTCTTAGGTGGCGCTTTCAAATAGGGCGTCAGGAAAGGTTCTGAGGGCTTCATTTCCTTGAAGAAGCCATACGAGCAAATAAGTAAAGTTGCTTTGATCCAAAACTCCATCTCTAGAGACTTTGCACGTCGGAACGTCCACTGATGAAATCTGGAAAAGCGCCAGGCTGTTAGTCAGTGGGGACGCCGGGGACGAGGTCTGGGAAGAGAAGGAGAGGGATCTCAATAAATCTTGTCCCGAACTACCCGGATCCCTCAGTGTGTCCCGCTCGTCGCCCGCCCGCTATGATGGGACGGCGAAGGGGGATGAGAGAGGGAGGGGAGAGGGGATGACTCTAGTACGCTCAGCTCAGGAAGGGCCAAGGACGATTTTTATGGATTTAATTCTCTGGTCTCTAAGTCCCGAATATTATTAGAGTATTTCGCATGTTAGAATATTGATAAATATCATTTATTAAATTTTTCACCCAAGGAAATAGACTAAAACTTTCGCTAAGCCGCTCCCTCCCCTCCCCTGCTAGATGTTGAGCATTCGGAAAGTAAGCAAAGATGGCGGGGAAATGTACATTGTTTACAGAAAACCAACACTACTGCGTAAGTATTTGAGTCAGGTACTAGTTATCTTCTATGTTATCCTGACAACATTACAAAGGTCAACACAGTACATAAACTCAATACTAGAGTTGTTTTTCAGGGTGTAATATCCAATGTGAAGCTTACAGTGGCGTCTTTTTCCTTGATCGCCAGGTGTGTAACAAGCTTATTATCATCTGCACGTCTGTAAATGTTGTAAATATTATTTTTTTATGATTTTTTTCTCAGTAATACAGGGCCACTTGTGTTGTTTTCATTTTTTTTGGTGTCGTCGAAACCGAGGCTCGTGTGCATCGTTAAATCGTGACAGAACTTTTAAAATTAAGCACCCCTTCGAAGTCTAATTTCGAATACGTGTCATCGTTTGAAGTTTTCGTATGTCGTCAAACGGATCGAAAGCGGTGTTGATGTTATGTATTGCTGCTAGTATTCAGATTTACTCTGCCAGCAATAAACATTTCTCCTACATTTTGTTCCAATATTGACGTTGACTTGGTATGAAAACTGTATCCCAGCTGTTATTTTATGGCCAATTTTCAAGGTATAACTTACTAGCCTGCCAAACATTTCCGCTCTCGGAGACCAGGCTACAGGGTTCGCAGACTCGTGATATGACTTCTTGGAGCAAAAATTAAAGTTACATAGTTTCTGTAATTTTCAGTCACCATTTACTTGTGGTCAGTTCGGCCTTGTTGACAAGCAGCAAGGATAACCCTAGTTCCAGGGTTACCCTAGCAACACCGAAGAGGGTTACCCTAGCACTTGCAAATGTCTTCTGTTTGTTTCATGAACATGTTTGCAAGGGAGTTAGCATTACCTAAATACTAAACTAGGTAACTTTAGCTGAGTGCTTGGGTTACCCTAGTGTGCCCTAACGGTGTTCAACATACTAGGTGGTACGGAAGGGAAAAAATTCAGTCCCCTGATTAAACGTTCACAAACAAAAGTTTATCTTTACACAGGACAAAGCTTTTGAAGGCCTTTCTTTTTGGTTAAAAAAGAGTGGTGTTGTCTCTTGATGTCTTCTAGCTTCACCAAGATTTCGAGGCAACTTTTTAAAATTCCCCCTACCCCTCCCACATGGTATCATGAATTCCCTGCTCCAATAACAACTACTTAATATAAGTCAAATTCAGTTTCATTGAGGTATTCTTTTGCTATTTTTTGCTATTTCTCTGACTTGTGCCCTTCAAAATATATTTACAGCTTTTTCATAATATTTGTCATATGGCTCTTCAAAAAGTACAAGTATTTTGTGCAGGTATGGTACTTAATACTCTATCACTTTCACCACTCACTCAAACTCAGATTTGTTAGCATGGGGTAGCATTTTTTCTTCCATGCCCTCAAATTAGATGATTGCAAATCCTGTGGTTTGCAGACTTGTAAATTTGGCTCAGCTTGAGAACTTTAATTTTATGGTCTGCAATGAAAAGCGTAAGTATAGACTGTATAGAAACAAACCCTGTGGTATTTATTAAAGCACTGAAATTTTCACATCATTTTCTTGATACTTTCTGATAATCCAATAAATATTCAACAATCTCATGGTAGCTATGCTTAAAGTTTTGGCAGAGCTTTTTAGTAACTGATCGTACTCTTCGTAAATTTTGGTAATTCTTTAGAAGATCTGATGTGACTTCCTTAATATTACATTTGGTATGTACAATTATGCGTCTTCAGGCATGTTTTGTTCCACAATTTATAGCATTATATAAACTTAACTTGGACTGAAATGAGAACAGATCCAATTGAAAATGATTAGTTCCAACCTCTATCAAGTTTTGTATATTGTGATGAGAATGTATTTTTCTCACCTTCTAAAGAAGGTTGTAATTATTTTTGACAGAGACTTATCTTGGCTCTCAGTGTGGCTGCTTTTCTTGACAGTGTTGGTTATTTGCTGGTAAGTGTTAAGTTTAAAGCTTAGTGAGTCATACAGAGACAGACAGACAGACGGACAGAAGTCAGACAAACAGACAGATATACCAAAGGACTAACCATCACTTTATGGTGGAAACAATTGTTGTGTCTCCTACTCTCTAGTGGATTTAGTTATACATATCATACATGTATATGGATTATTGACCAAGCGCAAGGTTATGGCTGGATACATAATAGCACGGAAGATGGCTGGATACATAATAATAATTTATGAGTTATCATGCTGAGTTCTTTTTTTCAATCAATCAATCAATCAGAAGAAGAGTTACGTAGCTTTGACATAGTTGTAGATGTTTTGAATTAATGTTAAATGAAGTTTAACTTATCCATTACTTTCTTATAATTTGCATTTTCCAAAGAAATAATTATTTCCTCAGTTAAATTTTTAACATTTTGACTCTAGACAGGTGTTCCTCCTGATGACAACGGTTTATGTGACTTCCAGGCATGGCTACTCTCTTTTACAAGTATGAAGTACCAATTGAACAATAAAATTATTGTGATATTAATTTACTCTTACACGTACTAGTTACCATTCTTTTTTTGACTAAGCATTCTTTTTTTGACTAAGTGGATCTTGTCAACCTTTTATGGGGTATGAGAGTGTGTTATTTTTATTGCATATTTTCACTTTAGTTGCTTGACTAAATTTTGGGCTTTGAAAGAAATTTAGGGGTCAGGTGGTGAACTCAAGCCTGGGCCTGGTTGCTCAAAAACTGTTTGAGGTTTTCATTCTTCACTGAAGAGCAAAAAGTATTAGCATAAATTTTTACATAAGGTTATAACTGGTCTTTTTTCTTCATTTTATTTTTTTAAACCTTTTGGAACTGATTTTCACGAATCAGTAGAACTTGGCCAGTGTCATGAACCACCACCAGAAGACCAGTTCAGTTTCAGTTACACATGACATCATGACATGTTGCATTATTACACTAGGTTTTTCTGTTCTCCTCTGGGTTTGCTGTGTAACATTCAACTTGTACTGGAATGCAATCAAAGGAGTCAAAACAGATAACTTCGAAAAGTAAGTTAGATGATTGTTCTCTCTTCATTCATTCCAGCTGTCTACTATGTTTCATTAAGCTAACAATATTTTGATATTATACATTCTACAATTTGTTTGTATTGCATGTAGGAATCTTACAGCTACATTATTTTTATCCTACTGTTCTTTTTAAAAAGTACTGTAAATTACACCTTAATGTACCCAAATTCGTAATTTGCCAGTCCAAAACTCTGCCCACTGTCCTGATATCCTGTGAAATCAATTCACTGGTCTCATATGGCTATGATATCATGGTCACTTGGCCAAATTTGGGTAAAGTAAATGTGTGGTTCCAGAAAATAGCCATACTTACCCCAAGGAGGGTTATTAGAAATTCCAAAGAGGAAAGCCAGGGGTGACTCGAAAGCCAAAATTTTCAAGGGTATGTAGGAACCAAAACTGGAATTTCCAGAGGGTTGGGGGGTTGTATACCAAAACCCCTTGTGGGAAGGGTATGGATATTTTCTGGAACAACACAGTATACCTATTTAAACCTTTTGTGGCATGCTTTGGCAGCATTTTAGGTTCATTCGGTCTTGCCTTTGGTATTTTGGCTTGAGCCATGGTACGTACTACCAAAATTGCCTTATATGCTGCTGAAGCATACCAAAAAGTTAAAATTAGGTATAAATAAATTGGATCATGTGTAGTAGAGGTGTCCACCCGCAGTTGAGTGTCGATTGATACCCTCGATCGATACCCTCGATCAATATCCTTGATTGATGTCCTTGATCGACCCTTGATTGATATTCAATTGCCACTCCATCAACACCTCGGTTGATACTTGATCTACTTCTCGGTCGAGGGTTAGTTATGAGTTGACTTATTTTCGATCCATGCATGTGAGTCGGTTGACACTCAACGGACTATCCACCTACTGTTGATCAAGTGTTGATCGAGTGCCAATCGAGATATTGGTGGAGTGTCGACCAAGTATCGATCGGGATGTCCGTGGAGTGTCAGTCAAGATGTCAATCGTGGGTCGATTGGGGGTATCGATTGACACTCGACTGCGGATGCCTTTGGTACACATGATCCAGTGAACTTCAGTTCAATGGTAGTGTGAATTGTAGTTTTAGGGTAGATGGACTTTTGGGTGATGTGTCCCTGAAAATCCACAATATTTGCCCCTGTTCAGTTTGTGACTCAGTTGTCTGGTAGTTCTACATACATGTAGCTGGCACACAGTTGTGTATTACTAAATATGCTTTCCAATACCACAACCTGCATGCTCATTAAAATGCTCCAGTTGTATTAAATCTTGAAAGTAATTTGAATTTTATGTTCCACACCAGAATATCCTTTTGCTTTCATAAGTGAATTGATTCTATTTTCAGATATTATCACCTTGTTTCATGGGGAATTCCCTTAATTGTTGCCTGCTTACCTTTAATCAATAATCATTATGGACCAGCAGGGGCCTGGTGGTGAGTAGTGGATATGGAGAATTTTTATAATTAGAATAATTTGACAGCAAAATTTGAGATAGTGAAAACTAACTACATGTAAATTACAACCAGACACAGCTAGCCCAAGCTAGTGATAGGGCTTTCCTTTGGTTGTCCTTGGGTTCATAGCCATAGTGTCTAATGACAAAATCACCCTCAGGCTGGGAGTGGCATGGCAGTATTGACAAAATCCTGACAAGGTGGGTTTTTGTGGCTCTTTTTGTTAGCTTGGGTTGCCTGTGAAAAAAGTCATTTTTAATTCTGTCAGACAAGTAATTAATATACAGTAACAGCCAAAGTACACCTGATGTTGACTACTTACACTGTTCATGTCATATTTCAATATGCAAGCGCTCAAAAATTATCCTGGCTACAAAACTGCACACAACATGGCCATATAATTATTTAGTTGGCAAAATTCAGACAACCACTGTTATATCATTCAACAAATTGTCTACGAAATGCATTTTTGAGTTAGATAACTTGTAGTTGAGAAGTGGTTCACAAGTTGTTGGCCAAATTTTGCCTTAATGAATGTCACAGGATATCGGTCCATTTCTGTTATATGCAGATGAACTTTTATGATGAATTTTAGGTGAAAATGATTTCAAGAACATTTGGTGTTTACACATTATGGTAATAACTCTTGAACTGGCAAATTTCAGATTTCGCAGCTCTAAAATAGCAAGATACTCTTTCATTACATTGTTTCCTTTCCAGCTGGATTTCCAAAGAAAGTGATAATAGTGTGGCATGGAGGTTTGCTACGTAAGGATCAAAATTTTGTACTTAAATATTGATTTACTAACACATTGGCTGGTTGCTTAATCCATTTGTAATTTTCAGTGCACCTTACCCGTTTGTTAATAAGAGATTATGAAAATGTTGCACGTGCTTGCCAGTACATGTTTGAAGACCCAACCTGAGGCAGACATGGCTGGCCATGATTGTTGAACCGAGTCAATTGGCTTTGAGTCAGCTCTGGACCTTTGCTCTTGAAACCTCAGCTGATTGCAAGCTCACTACAGCATTTTACCTTAATTTACTTGGAGTTGATATTCATGACCTTTGATGAAACGTTTTTCTCTCATGCTGATGCAGCACAACAGTTGTTTAGAATCTAATGACTTCATGGTCATTTGCAGTTCAGCATAGCTTGACTAGTTGAAAGTCAGTAATTACATGTAAGTCGAGCAGCAAACATTGCCATTAAGCAAGTTAGTTGCTTGTTTATATCAATCATATAGTTACCGTAAATCTTTGAATTAGCGCCCAGGGCGCTTATTTCAAATTTAGGAGAAGACGGGGGCGCTTATTTGAGGCAGGATGCTTATTTAATTTTTCCCAAATCATGGCCTGGCATGATCATTTTTTTAATACATCATCTGCTGTTTATTGACATAAGCTGATCCTAAAGTTTAAATTGCAGCACGGTTAGTACTTAATTTGTTCACTTAATGTGTTCACAAACTGAAACAATGTACAAATCTAATACTACATGAGGAAAACTATACATCCTTTGTTGTCTCAGTACTTGTCCACAAAATCAGGGGGAGGGGAGGGGGTGCTTATTCGAGGGGGGCACTTATTTTAAATTTCGGCCGATAGGAGGGGCGCTTATTTGAAGGGGCGCTTATTCGAGGATTTACGGTAAATGTACGTATTAAGGAATGTTGGCAGCCTTACGACCACAAACTCCCTAACATGGTCAACAGGCCTGCTACGTTAGAATTAAGCTGCTTCCTTCTCCAATCCTCCCCCGTCTCCTGAAAGACCCAGTCCGCTGTATGTGTGCATTAGGTGCTGTAAGCTAACCCTCATCACTTCTGTATTTTGCATTTTACACACGTATTGATTAATATTAAAAACTAGCATGTTATAATATTCTTCCGGTGTTTTTCATCCGTAGCTATTATATTCCTGTGTATCTGTGCATCATTGGACTTTTTATTGTTTATTCTTACATCTTTATAACAATCAGGAGACAGGTCAGTTGATATCAGAAAGTCACCTTGCATTTCAAAGCATGGCTCAGTTTGACATACAGATTTAATAATTCTGTTTCATTTTGTGATATGCTTCTGTTTTGACATACAGATTTAATAATTCTGTTCCATTGTGTATGACTTTCAAAACCTTTCTTCGAAATGGCTCATATAGATATTACAACTGCGAAGATCTTTCTTTTCACCCTCCCCCCGTCCCACCCCAGAGAGGCAGAGGCCAAGGTCCAAACCCTTTTCCATATATATATATATTGAGTAGTTCTTTCTCAGAGAAGGTAATCCTTCCTTATACATTCCATAGCATCATCTTACAATTACACTCCATTAATGCCCCCTACAGTAGAAACAATAATTCTGTTCTGCATCCTTGGAATAAATGTATTATAACGCCGGAAAGGACGGAACTTTCACGCCACGCTCGGCAAGTTAAGCGAACAGTTTCCATATTAGTGAGCATTCCTTTTGTGATCAGTGAGTGATCAGCTTTATTAGTATTTTAGTGCAAATCTGTAAATTTTTTCTTCTCTTTCTTCTATCTACCTCCCCCTTAGGGAAGCATCGCGTATGTTCTTAGGCAATAAAGCTGTCTTAGGCAATAAAGCACTGTCGTGCGTGACGCGAAAGAAAACCGCAAGAAAAAAATGGCCGCGCGAAATCCTGGAGGCGAGGAGCGCGCCCTTTCGCGCGGCCATTTTTCTCTCACAGTTTTCTTTGGCGTCATGCACGATGGACTCAGGGAAAGAGGAACTACTCGCAGTCTAATTGAGGTGGTGTGTATTTAATACGTTAATGACCGTTTTCTCTGCTTGTTTCCAATGTCAAATTGGAAGCTGTGGAAGTAGCAGCCCTCCCCTATAACTTTGCATCGTATCACACAAATGTTCTTGTTCCCTGTTCTTTCTTCCAATGATATATATATATATATATA